AGAGTACTAGTGGAACATGCCAATTCTTAGGAAATTCCCTTGTTTCTTGGGCTTCCAAGAAACAAAATTGTGTTGCATTGTCCACTACGGAAGCGGAATACATTGCCGCCGGCTTATGTTGTGCTCAAGTTTTATGGATGAAACAAAGTCTAGTTGACTATGATTTGCATTTCCAAAATATTAAAATCTTTTGTGATAACACAAGTGCTATAAATATTTCCAAAAATTCGGTTTTGCATTCTAGAACTAAGCATATTGACGTGCGCCATCATTTCTTACGCGATCATGTAGAGAGACAAGATGTATCCCTAGTATTTGTTGACACAAAATCTCAACTAGCGGATATATTTACTAAGCCTCTTGGAGAGGATGATTTTTGTCGCATAAGAAATGGTTTGGGCTTATGCACTATGTGAAAGTTCTACATTGCTTGCTTGACTAGTTGTATTTTGCATTTAGTATTTCTCTTTACCCCATTTTTTATGGTGACAAAGGGGGAGAGAAATCTCCTCATTTGTTGCATATATTTAGGGGGAGCTCATAGATAGGGGGAGCACCTATCTATAAGCTATCTTATTTTTGCTCTTATATAATGGTTGGTTGTCATCATCAAAAAGGGGGAGATTGTTAGCCCTTATGTTTTGATGATGTTCTTACAACCACCATTATCGGTACTAATGGCTTATTGAGTATAAATATAGTAAATTCATTTGTCAAGCTCGTTAGTGCCATTAATGGAGGATGGATGGAATATATGCTACAACGAAGATATCCAAAGGAGGAGGAGGCCAAGAGATGAAGCAACGTTATTTCAAGAACGACAAATTCAACTAAAAGCTTCATCCGATTCAAGCTATATCAAAGCTCAAGTATATTGCTCTCTATATGAGGATATTAGCTTTCTTTTGTTTTTCTCTCTAGTGCTAGAATGTAGGCAAAGAGTTACTGAGTTTACTTGAAGCTATTGGGAATCACACACACGTTTTTAAACTTGTGCTTTTAAGCGTTTCTTCACAAAATACTATTTTTCACAAGTATGAGTACCTATCTGCAAAATTCTTTTTCCAAACAGTTTGTTTTTAGTATTAAAAACATTTTACAAAGTTTCAGATTTCTTCAGAGATCAAATAAAATATCTACAACTATTTTACTTGGTGAATCAAAACGTAAACGGTTTCCGCATATGTACGAAAGCGTCGACCGGATCGGTCGACCGCACATTCATTCTTTTCTACTGTTTCCCAGGAGAGGTCGTCGTCGACCGGCGCGGTCGACCGATTCCATGATTATTTCTATCGGTCACCGACCCTCCGGTCGACCGACGTGTTTCTGCTGGTTTTCTTATTTTTTCTGAAGCAGCTCACAGGTCGACCAAATTTGTTCGTCGGTCGACCGACGTAATTTTCGTGCGTCGACGAACGATATTTCGGCCGACCGCTTTTTTCCCTTCAGTCACACGATTTCTTTTTAAACGGTCTTTTATTTTCGATTGTTGTGCTTTCACTCTTTCGTGCTTGGCTCAGCTGAGCTAAACTCTGTAAAGGGGATTATCTTCCTAAAATAGGAAGATGTGTTTGGTTTTAAAAATGTTTTAATCTATTCTATAAAAACCTACCAGCTGCTTTTCTTCTTCCTTGAGCCAAACGTTTGAAAAACCAGAGAGAGTATTTTCTGTTTCTGCTGAGAAATTTTCAAATCAGTCTGCTTCTCTTCTGTGGTTTTGTGTGAGCTCACCTCCCAGCTTCAGAAATTTGTTCTCTTTGCCATAGGAGCTTTGTAGAGAGAATTCTACATTGTTATTCTTGTGTGTGTAGTTGAGATCTTGAGTAAGATCTCTGTGAGGGAATGATCTGTTGAGATCAAACTGTGTAGTGAGAGAGTCGTGTGGGATCGCTGTGTAGACGAAGTTCCGGCTTCCAAACCGGCTGCTTAGTGGATTTCTCCTCGAGAGTGGGAGGCGGGGACGTAGGCCAGAGGGCCGAACCCTCGTTAACACACTCGCGCGTCAAGGATAACGATTCTAACCCTCTCTTATTTACCTGTTTGCATCTATTTACTGTGAATTGTTTGTTGCTGTGTTTTTAATCTGCAATATTAGAGCCTTTTGACCCTACATCCCCCCCCCCCCCTCTAGGGTCCAACCACAATGATGAGGCTTGACCTTCATAAACATACACGCAACATGAGAGCAAACTCGTGCAACCTCAAATCCATGGAGGACGATGATGATCTAAGCGGGTAGGAAGAGGGAGATAAAGGAGAAGGGGCAGACTTCTAGGTTGTATGTGATAGATTTATGGATTTTCTATATGGACCCTATTTAAGTTATCGATTTAGATTATTTATAAATAAATAAATTTGATATATTTGGATTTGTTGCAATATTTTGATGTATGGATATAATATGTGTTGTCATGGAATGTTATCTATTATGTTTTGTTGTGATGTTTTGGATTGATTAATAGTGTATTAAGTTATAAACATGATTTAATGAAAATTATAAAATATATAGAGATTATCTTTTCTCGATATATATATATGATGTGAATTTAAAATTTTCTTTTTATGCACAAGAAATATTTTTTATGCATGGGAAATATTGTATATGTATAAGATAAGTTGGAACAGATGCATGCATGTCATGAATAGTTTGTACAACAAGCGATGTTGATATCAGCTATTTAACTGGGGAATGTAGTGGGGATTATGGAGAGTTTTAGAGTTCTTCAGCTATCTTTAATGATTAATTATTGAGTAGAGTATTTGAACATGCACATAAACAATATGTAAGTCAATCGGAGTTGGGTTATCTGATAGTTCCTTAGACTTCCAAGGCAATATTGATCTTAAGTGGATGAGAAAAATATGATTGCTCAGTGTTATATTACCAAAAGATTGTGTGCCTCAATGTAGTAGGCAATGCACCTATTTATAGCAGATCCAAGACAATAGTTGTGTGACTTCAGCCAAGTCTAAGCTACTAGCTTATTCGATTGATATTATACGGGTGTCGGATGTGGGTGATATGAGTCACCTTTGTAATTAACACGACGGTGATAGGGGAAGTAAGATGCTGACAATGTCTGATGAGTCACTAAGACTTTCGAAGAGAATGTAATTATGACTTCAACCGTGCATTTAACGTGATGGTGATTGGCTATCAACGAGGGGTTCGAGAACAACCGCCTTTCGTTTTGGCCTTGTGAGAGGGCCAAGAAGGATGCCTTTTGATTCGGCCGCTCGGATGAGGGGGCTTCTAGACTCGGTCTAAATGGATGACAATGCATGGAGTTCATTTTAGTAGCAGGGTCCAAGTGCGGAAGCCTTTCGATTTGCACATATAAGAAGGGGCTGAGTGACGGCGTCCTTTGGCTCGACCTTCATGGAGTCGGGTCGAATCGTTGCATAGTTAATCTGGGACACTTGCCATCTCCTGTGATGGCATTAACACTTGGTCATTTCTGCGATACAACGCACAGGACTAATGGTCTTATTGTTTTCTAAAATTATTCAAAGAATACACAAGACTACTAGTCCTATGCGTTTTCTGGGATTTATTTAAGGCCTGATTAGGGGGACATTAAACACACGGGATTACTAGTCATGTATGTTTTAAACAGTAACTTTTGCGAAATCAACCTCTTTTTGGCTAGCCTTAAAGATGTGACCAAAAAGAGATCGATTTTGCTAGTTATTTAGCAAAAAAAGTTGTTTTTGCAAATTATTTTTTAAAAATGGTCTTTTAAAAAAATTCTCCTTACAGAAGATGGCCATAAATGTAAAAATTATATCTTGGGTTTTACTCCACTCTGCTCAAGACCACGAAGCATGAATTGATTTAACCCAATTAAACCAACAAAATCATGTATCGTTGCAACGGATGCAAAAAAAATTATAAACGACTTTCTAGTTCTTTTCAAAATTATACACTTATAGTTTCAATTATAGTCGCAGTTGTTCGCGCCTACTTGCAGCTCCTCATATGGGGCTTGTTCTTACTTTTAATAAATTAAAGAACAATGTGAAAACGTCACAAAGAGAAGGATAATACAAATGAGACGATTAAAAAAAATCTCTTCGTTTTATTTAAAAAAACAAAGTTTAATCTTTGAATGCAACACTTACAGTTATTAAAAAAAAATACACTTAGAGCAATATTTTCACTATTTCAACTTTTTTTAAGAAGAATACTTTATGGATACTCTTAAGGTCTTCGACAAGTATATGAATACATGCATCTTCTGCTTGTTCTCCTCAGCTTTTGAACTATAATATATCTTCAACAAGAAGAAATTTTTTTTTTTCGCAAGTGTTAGCTTAAGTGTTCCATTTTACTTTCTCAGTTGACAACACATTTACGTCGCAAAAGAGTACATTCTCATCATCACCAATCGTGCAGACATTCGTCACAGCCCAGAGGATCATTTCTCGTTTCAAGGATATGTCATACTAAATTTAAGTTGGGTCACAATATTCTATTTTCAAGTCAAAACCATGAAAATAATGTTTGCAAATTCATTAACGACAAAAAAACAATAAGTATACAATATTATACAGCATCACATCACATCATCACACATCTTTCGTCGGTCCAAGGAATAGACAATTCCGCAATTTTCGTCTTTATTTTCTACTATTTACCCGACTTTCAAACAATTTTTCGTGATTTCTTACTATCAAATCCTTCATCCTCAATAGCTATTATAAGTCGTGAATACTAATAATATTAATGCAAGATATATTGTGAGGAACAATCACTTATATCCCTAAACTATTTTATCAGCACTCACTTCTCTTGAATCTAAGGCGACTCGGTAAGGTTAAGATGTTATGTGAGAATCATGTGAAAGACAAATGATAATGTTTGAGGAAATAAAAGTAACATTGTTGGGAGTTGCAAGTACCGACAAACTAAGTTTATTAAGTACATATGGCTACACTCTCATAATACATGAGGTATATTTGAAATTAACTCATACTAAAATCATAACATTTGTGACTAGGTCAAGAAACATAAATAGGAAGACTTATTGGCAGTTTGAATTGAAATTTTCAAACACCAAACAGTCACAAGGTAACCATGAAGAAATACGGAAGACTTATACCTTGACGAAGTTACAATTCAAACATAACACGAGTCTCTGTTTTATATTATATATATCCACTCATGACAAGCATGATATTTATTTACTAAGTCTTGGTAGACATGATACATTTACTGAAATGAAGCTGTATACGCCCTTCATCACCCTACGCAATAACTTGCAAGCATCTTCATCAGAGCACATAGCTGATAGATTTTAAGCAAAGAATTATGTGGTGATGAAAATATAAAAATGAGAATTTTGGAGAGAAAAAAAAATCCTTGTGGGCTGCAACTGTCAAGAAAATCAAGGGCACAACCGCGGACACAGCAAGATATCCACAATCTCTCTCTGAAGTCAAATTCTCTCGTAGTTGAGTTGGTCCGACTGTCAAGAAACATAAACAGAGAGCTTAGAAACTCAAGTATTGTAATATGCTCTCGAAAAATATAGTGCGCAGGTATAGCGACACATATTGTGATAAAGATGCTAATATTTGAAGCAATTTTAACCTTAATGAGCATATCTGTAGGAAGCCATGCAGGAGCAGTAGGGATTCCGACCCAAGCAATCTGTAATAAGAAACAATGATGGAAATTTGACGTTTACAGGTTTTTACTCAGAAAGAAATGCAGATCTTCATGGTTTTGGCCAAAACTAAGAAGAAATTTATTCAAAGGCAGAAGATTCGAGCAGTAAATTTTGCAGTTGACATGTGAATGAACACCAGAATTGTTCCCCTGTGCTCTAAAATCTATTGACAGCCAAAAGGTTGATAGAGCTACAACAAAGAGAAAGAGGGAAATAACTTACGAGAGCATATTCTCCTGTTTCAAAGATCCTGATATCCAAAACCTGGCCAAGCAGAGCAAAATAAATAAATAAAAATAAAAAGGTAAACAGAAGGAAATGAAATAGTACTAGGTAGATGGAACTCATAGAAAAATATGTGAAAATACCAATGAAACAAACAAAAAGTTGGTAAAAAGTTTATCTGAAGGGGAAATAGACGATTTAATAGATATTACTTAATAGGAAGTACCTCGCCACGATCTTCATATATGTAGTCCAAGCCTTTGTAATAAGGGGGATGCCCAACTGATAAATACTGAAATCAAAATTTCAAATTGCTATGTATCGTTAAAAGGCATAGGACTTTGGAAAGTAAAATCATTTAACAAACTACGATTTAACTGTATAACATTTTACGTTATGAAAATAGTGATAATGAATTGAACTTACGTTGATACTATTTAGGTACTTCTCTTTATCCACCCTTACAATTTGTCCTTTCTTCACTGCAACAAGAAATACATAATAAGAGGCAAATATGAGCTTAAAAAGAGCACATGAGGCATTATTGACTTGTTTCGAAGGTAAAAGATTTACTCGAGTATTCTGGTTTCTTTGGCCTCAAGGGCTTTGCAGAGGAGGCTGAAGCTTCGCTTGAAGCCTGAGCAGTCTTCTTCTCCTTGTCGGGCTCCGCAGAGGTCGCCGCCTTTATCCACAGTGTTCGAACACCAGCATTCTTCTTTCCCTTGCCTTTCAATGGTGAGGCACGTATTTTGTGAGTTGAGGAGCTCGAGAAGAGAGAGTTTGAAGATGATAACAGAGAAGCCATGAAGCTGCAAAAGGCAACAGAATGAAGTCCTCTTTCTCATCCATTGGTTTCCCGCTATTTCTCTGCTTCAGATAAGATCCATTTGGGGCACGTCATACACCAGTGGGTCCCACTTCATGTATCCTCATCGACGCTAGGACTGTTTTAAGCGTACATAATCCAGTAAACTTTGCCAATTTTAAGTAGATAAATGAGAAGGTAAACAAATTTCTGTACACATTGGGTCTGCTCTCAATATGCAACTTATTTGAGACAAACAAAAAATTTCTATTCTTACCATTTTTAAGTATATAAATGAATACACACCTTTACTCTATACAGAACTTGGATCGTGTATGCAATTTCACAATTACATTGATCATGTAGGGACAACAAAAACTGATACGACAAGGAACCGATCTTTTTCTTTTCTTTTACATTTTTATGTTTGATTGATCCATCAGAGGCAAAAGAGATGCTGCTATCGATTTTTTACAGGTATAATTGGATCACCATCATTATCTTCTCCTTGGGGAACTGTATGTTGTTTGCGACTTAAACTGTGGAAGCTCTGGCAACTGATCAAAGTTATTGCATGCCCTTGTGTGATATAGAGAATAATTGCTTGGTCCATAGTTAATAGCTCCTGCCGAGAAAACTGGATGAGGAGGAGAAGGCAAGCAGCTTCGATTACCATGCTTAAACTGGCGATGAGGGCTTGAGCAGGGTGAAACAGAGCAGGGCGAAACCGGGAGAGACATGTTCGCTCTGGCCCTGAGCAGATGAATGCAGCAGAAATTTTTAACTTGTGATTTTAAGAAAGGAAGAGATAAAAAAACTGTGATTGGTAGAGAAATTGTTAATACCTTTGGTTCCTAGATGTTGAGGGGAACTCTATCAAGTGCCCCACTCCATAATCTCTGTCACGCAGAGGAGATAAACTTCGATTTGGAGAAAGATCCATGGCACCCTGAATAGAATTAGCAATTGTGTGTACAATTAGTTATGACAATACTGCAGCAAACCCATTCCTCACGACAAAGCAAAAAAGGCTTACTTGCAGATAGACCCCTGATATTATAGGGAGGTAGCAATTTATTATCTCTGAACATGTTATTAGCACTTGCTCTTTAATGTCCGAACGGATTATCTCCTTGTTATTTGTACACATTACATGGGAATCGTGTGGTGTTAATGTGTTAAAAAGAAATCCTGTAATATTTCATTCTGTTGCAGAAAAAGATCCCATATTCTTTACATGTGCTGAATATACACTCCTATACTATACAATGTATTGGTAAGAAAGAGAATTCCGCTTGACGCCAAGGAACTCCAACAAATTAAAAAAATTCAGATATAACAAAGTGTCAAACCCAGTATGGTAAAGGGGATGTATTTGCAATTAACCCAAACAGAAGTTATTTACGTATTGGTATTTGATATTTGTAGCATTTGGGCACAGTGAAGCAAGAAGCAGAGAGATTGACAACATACCTCAAACCAATGCTAGAGACAAAAACTTCATAGAATTTAAGAACAGACGCTATAATATAATATAAATTCAAAAAAATGTATATAACTGATTTATGCAGTCTGAAAAAACTTCCAAAATTAACAAATCTGAAAATAGTGAGTTAATCGACATGATCATTTTCAGGTCTTACTTTATTGGATTTTTTGCAAGCATCTTACGCAGCCCTAGAATGAGTCGTTAAACCTTGGGTACTCCCCTCAGGATTTACCTAAAATTTTGTGGTGGATAATCCCAGCGGGATTCATGCGGCTCATGATAAGCTCTCCATGTATTATAAACTAATATATAAAAGTTGAAACTCAGCAGTTTTAATGCCTTTGAACATGCCTGAAGCGGTTGCAAAAAGAACAGCTTTTAAGTAATATATCAGGCGAGATCACTTAGTTGAAAGTGAAAATTTTATCAAATTATATGACTTTTTGTTAAAAAAATTTAAAATCATTCTTAGGAGGAGATTCCATGATTTTGGTGTAACCCTTTGGATTACTACTAAAGGAGACCCCTTAACTCAGGCATCTGTTATAATTCGTGGACAACTGATTTAATAAACAAACAGAAATTTCAACTCCAATAATTCAAAACTATCTGTAACAAAGAGTTAAAAAGATCTGGTAGCAGTAAATTCCATTTTTCAGAACATATAATACAAATATTCAACAAAAAGACGGTAGATCATGAAAACCATACCATTCTCTGGGTTTCAGCTGAAATAGAAGGCAACGCTTCCCTGAACATACTGGATTTTGTGGGTCTTATTGATGCTTGATCTCGAACAAAAGGATGTTCCATCAACTGAGCTGCTGTGGGACGAGCTGCAGGATCACGTTGCAAGCATAGCTTTACAAAACTCTTTGCGTCAGAGGACAGATGATCCGGGATATCTGGTATATCTTTGCTGTTCCCAATCTTAAAAATTGCAGGTACCTATTAATTCCAACAAAATGAAAGCTCTAAGTTTGCAGAAAAGATTGCAGTGCAAAGCACTTCCATAAAACAAACACAGATACTATCTTAGATTCAACTATCAACAAAAAAAAGTGCTATCCAATAACATGGGTAAGAGATGCACACCACTGGAAACTGGCTCCAGGGAGGTTTAGAAGTTGCCATCTCAATGACCGTACAACCAAGGCTCCAAATATCCACTGAGAGATTGTATCCATTGCCATTCATGACAACCTGCATAATATTCGAGCATAGGGAAGCAGAAACTGGTTAGTAAGACAAGCAAACAATGATGTTAATGCTGTAACTATCTCCCAAAAATACCAACCTCAGGAGCCATCCAGTAAGGGCTTCCTTTGAAAGAACGTATAGAAGTATAAGCTGATATCTGATCCCAGAAAAGAGAACAATAATATAAGCTACTTGGCAGAAACTCCCATATAATGAAAATTTGACAGGCCCGATAATAACCAAAATTTCAATAGTAAGGATTGCTGGCGAAACAAAATAAATTGACAGGTCTTGCTCAAAGGACTAGCACTTGAAACACCATATAGCCTTATTATCAGTGTTCTAAATGTTGGATGCCAGGGACGCACAGAAAAAATCCATATCGGATGACAGCTGCGGTGAGTATATGGGATGCCAAATACAGGGCTAAATAATTGATTCAGTCTATCCACCTTTCCACAACAATGTTATCCCGTCATTTTCCCAAGAAATTAGTTCAGCCATGAAGAACAGTTCGTTTTTAAGAAGGCCCCATAAAAGAATTGACAGGACCTTATAAAAAATTGTCAGCCTATCATGAACCTGTATGGGTTGATGCTGAGTTACTGATTCACGAAACTACTGACAAGTGGCTTCTTGCAATCGCCATGATCACTGCCAGCTAGGAAACCCCTACAGGTTTAAGCGGATGCGGATAGTAACTAGAATGGCTAATACAATTTGGTAGGTTCGAGCGGTTCGGCTTGAAAAAAACTAGAATGCGTATATCACACACACACACACACACAACACACACACACACACCACACATCATATATATATATGATATTAAGTATATATATATTATATATATTTGTATATATATATATATATATATTATAGATATATATATATATATATTATATACACACACACACAATATCTGCACGCAGCACGCGCACACACATATATATATGTATGTATTATGACGTACGTGTGTGTATATATATACAGAGTAAAGCTCTTATAACGTTAAGTGGATAGAGCACTTGTCCACTAAACTTTTTATCCATTCATTATGCTTTGAGATTTGTGCTACATATCAATGTTATCTTTGTATATCTATGCCTTCATTTGTATCATATGCTAGCACAAATCTCAATGCAAATCAATGGATAAAAAGTTGGTGGCACAAAAGGGCTCCTATCTACTTAAGTTTATAGGAGCTTTACTCTCTCTCTCTCTCTCTCTCTCTCTTCTCTCTCTCTCTCTCTATTTATAGTATATATATATATATATATATATATATATATATATTATAATATGTATTATATAATGATGACACTTAGATAACAAAAAATCTACATAGCCAAACAAGGCTGTTCATTTTGGGTTGTGCTCTGTATACAACACCAGTGAATGAACAAATATAATACGTTACCTAGATATATCACATACAAAAATAAATTTTCGAGCTCATCCAATAATAAATGTAACTTTTAAAATTCAAAGGTGCCTTACATGTTTGGCCATACCAAAATCAGCAAGCTTAACTTCGCCGTTAGGATCTACAAGTATGTTTGCTCCCTTAATATCCCTGCATGCAACTCATCAACTGCAGTTAGTTGAATTGATAGGTATTATTTCTGCTGCAAATGACATAGACAAGAGCAATTGAACACCTGTGTACCGTATTTCTCCCATGTAAGTACGTGAGACCAGCAAGAATCTGCCTTGTATAACTGCGAACAACAGGTTCCCCAAAGGATCCATATTCCTGAAGTAACTTGTAAATAGATCCACCAGAAACGTATTCAAGATAGACTGAGAGTTTGTCATCAACCTGTACAAGGAAATTTTATAACCAGTCAGTTGACTACTTTTGCACAGCTATCTCGATCAATTTGACACAAGAACTTCTACAGAAAAGTTTTCATCTAGAAACTAGTATGTAAATGAAGGTAAATTACTACTTTTAGAAGGTAATTATTACTTCAGAAGCAGTTAATAATATAGACATAAAATATGTTCTTCCATTCTGTCTAGATATGGGAAGACAAAATGATGGACCCTAAAGAGTATAATCCAAAATATACCTCTCTTCCAATTAGCAGTGGGAGAATGCATCCAATTAGCAGTGGGAGAATGCATAGCTATGTCCAAATCAAAGGGAAAAAATCACGATGATTTGGTGTTAGGTTTGATCTTTTCAATAATTAAGCAGCTAATTCTTTGAAGAGAATCACATGTCAAATATATCCAATTTCAGCAACAAATTTGTTAACATGAAGTTGTACATCAGTCATTCTCATCGTATACATAAAGCACACATCATAGCATTGGGACTAACAACCTTCAGAACCCACATCTTGTTTTCTATAATAATGAAAACCATGCTTTCCGTACAGCATGGAATGCTCTCTTATGAGATGAATAATTTTCCAGAAATTTGCAGACTAACATTGCAGCCAGTGCTTCTAGTTACGAAGTATGTAAAGCACAGGGTTGACACCTTATCTTGTAGCATCCCCTTTCTCTTCCCCTACTGATATCGATTTGTGAAACTATCTTCTTGCTTAATTGCTGAAGTGTAACCCAAAGAAGTCTATATAACTGAAGGGGGGAAAGAGGTGAAAAAGCAGATTTAGAAATTACCATTTCACTTCCATAGTACCGAACAATGTTTGGATGTGAGAGCTGACTGAGCAAAGTTATTTCCTGAAAATTTTGAGATTGTTTTTAAAATCAATGTTTGAATTTTGAATATTTGCATTGCAATAATGAAAACATGTTACAAAAGAACCAAACATTTGACAAAAATAAAGAAGATTAGATTTAGGGTGTTGCCTGGTTTAGTTGCCTTAGGCATTCTTTTGAATTTGAATCATCAGAGATGACTTCAACCTCTTTAATTGCACACATTTGCCCACTTTCACTGTAGCAGAGTGGAAAAATCAAAGAGCTCTTGTAAACTTTCAGTGTTTAACAGAAAGGTCAGATTTACTACACAGTAGCAAGAATAGAAATATGGAAATGCTAAGTGTTCTGCAAGAGCTGTACTACTCTTGTACTACTAGACACAAATAAGTGGGATCCATAGGAACTCATAATTTCTCTTTGCAATTCAAAAAAAAAGTCCCCCTTTTTTGTGTAGTAGTACAAGAGTAGTATAACTCTTATGTACAATTATCACAACTCTAAAAAAAATTTAATATATAAAGTTCATTTATGGCCTAGGTTACCCAGACACTTCATCTTGGCTCGTGTATTTGTGTCCAACAATTCCTGTGTCTGTGTCCGTGTCCGTGTCAAACACTCCATGGACACTTCTTGAGTATAAACATATATTTATGCAGACGTGTGCCCAACTATATAATACATGTTTTAGTTCAAAACACTCATGATACACTTCTTAGACATTTATGTTACACTTCATCTCAAATTTCTACAACTCATTTGGTTTGGATCAGGTTCGTTTCAGCCCATACCACGTTCATAAGCATGATTTAAATGGTCATTTGCATACATACTTCAAAAAAGAGTGGTTTTTCAATTGATAATCTATTCAATCAAGAGTAAAGCTCTTGTAAACCTAAGTGAATAGAATCTCTTGTCCACCAACTTTTTTATTCATTAGATTTTCTTTGAGATTCGTGTTGACATGTGATACATGTCAAGGCACACATCTCAAAGATAGTATTGATGTGTATCACATGCCTACATGAATCTCAATGCAAATCTAATGGATAAAAAAATTGATGGATAGAGCTCTCAATCAACTTAAGTTTATTCTAGGCTTACTCAATAAAAGAAACATCAAAATGGTATACGGATTTTAGTTCTCATAACATATAATTAAAAAACAATATCGATCTCATATAAATTACTATTTTTCATATGCATATATAGTCGTGTCCCCTTATCTTATATTTTACAAATTTATTGGGTCCTATATCCGTAGCCGTGTCCATGTCCGCACCCACACCCGTACACGTGCAACATAGTTTATGGCTTACTCCTCAATAAAAGAAACATTAAAATGGTATACAGATTTTAGTTCTCATAACATTATAATTAAAAAACAATATCGATCTCATATAAATTACTATTTTTAATATGTATATATAGCCATGTCCCCTTATCCTATATTTTACAAATTTACTGTGTCCTATATCCGTAGCCGTGTCCATGTCCGCACCCACACCCGTACACGTGCAACATAGTTTATGGCTTATTTGTATTTTAAGAGGCATTCTCTATAGTACAAATTCTCACTATACATTCATTAGTGTTATAGAAGTTCAGTAAAATTTTGATTTATTAGCTTACAACTTTTAAAAGTTGTTAAATAATAAAGGATACATACCCGTTGAATCCAAGATATACATGGCCGAATGTTCCTCTGCCTAACAATTTCCCCTTTTTCCATTGTGATGGAAGAGAACGTGAAGATGAAGAGGAAGAAGACCCAGGAGAGCTTGGAGGAAGGGGGAGCGGATGAGGTGGGCTCTTCATATCATCTTGTCTTAGTTTCGGAGAACCCGGGCTTATGCCAAGTGCTCTTGGATGTGTAGGGGATGTAGGAAGAGGATGGCCTCTAACACCATTGGCCGTATTAAATAAGTGTGACTCCCTTTTGGGAGATACTGAAATATCACGACACTTCTGATGCTCCAACACTGTATTCACCATGAGGTGATGCTTGTCTTCTGCCACATGGAGTTGCCTATGTGAGTCATGTAACGAGTTTCTGCCCCTCAGCACGTTGACGGGGTCTGAATTTCTAATAAACCCAACAAAAAATTAATGAATTAAAGATAAATTCAAACTTAATGCACCCTCTTCACATAGTTATTTACATTTATGTACATATGATAAGACACTGATGCATCATTGCAAAGATGTTAAAAGACATCAAAGTAACAACTACCACCAAAATTGACCCACTTTAACATTCCTAAAGAGAAGAACCATGGAATAATCACATCGAAAGTGATAGCACAACATAACTAAATCAACCTAAATAACCGCCTCAAACTTACAAATTAAAGAACATGCTTACTAAAAAGCTTAACCCAAGCAGGAATTAATACACAGAACAGATTTCAAGCAATCAATCCTAAACCAATACATCAACAACGTCTTTATTCTAAGTTTTTGGGTTGACCATACGAAATTTGCACTCTTTCATTCAGTTCCATTTTGGATCATCCCCTTCATTAAGTTAATTATTATCATATCCTTCTTAATTGCTTCCAACAAAGTTCTTCCGGGCCTATCTCTATCCCTCTTTGCCTCATTAATTATAACTTCATCATTTTGCTTAACAGTTATGTTTGGTATCCTTTGTTGTACATAATCAAACCATCTCAATGATAGCCTCTCAGTCCGATTTCCTGCGGATGCAAATTGCAACATTCTCGTTTCCGCTGCACTCATTTTTTTTCACATGATGTTTTTAATCCGAAGTCAATCAATTTTGCAATTATAAAACAATCCGAATCCAAGAGCTTGGTTACAGTTACTGCTTTACACAGCCAAATTACCAATTCTAACAATTTCACAACATAGGCCCAATCAAAAACACAAACTTTCCCCCAAAAGAAAAGGTATTTTCCCTTTGATTAGTTACCTGTAAAACCCAAAATCCGGCGCCTCATCGGACCCCGAGGAGCTAGCGCTAGAAGCGGACGCGGTGGCCGAGTGGCCGAACCCTGCCGCAATCCACCGGCAGAGGCGACGAGCGTGGGCTGACGCGCCAGCGGGTGGCCGAACGTAAACGGCCGGGTCTCGGCCGACGAACCCGAGACCGTTTAAGGGGAGATAGATCCTAGCTTTTCCTCGCCTAGAAAGCCTTTCATCCGAAGCTGTTGGCTTGCTTTTCTTGCTGGATTTTCAGTTATCGGGTTCGGTGTCGCGGGCTGGAGCTGCAGCTGGCGAGGAATCGGGTTTGGGTTTGGATTGATTTGCGTGACACCAACCTGGCATTCGTAGCAGAGGACGGAGAATTTCTATGAGAGAGAGAGAGTAGGGGAGGGGGTTTGGAGGCAGAGGAGAGAGAGAGAGAGAGAGGAGGGTATTGGGGATTTTGATGGGCGGGGGTAGAAGGTAGAGGTGGGTGACAGCTCAGAGCGCGCCGGGAGAGCGGTCGTGGTTTTCATTAGTCTGCACCGACTGTGCGGGGTGCATCCACGGGGGGGCAGTGCGGCGGGGCCCACAAGGCAAAGGTCGGTGTAGGACAGGGAATTATTATTTAAGAGAAATATATTTTACAGCCTCAGTGTCAAAATCCGATATTTCGCAGGATGAATAAACACCTTTGATACTTCTCTCTCTGTCGT